GCAAAATGGTGTAGCCAAGTGCGACGAAGCTTTAATCCTAGTGATGTAGTTGGATCAGCTCATACATTGCGATTTCCCAGCCTGTCCAAATGCAACCTTCTTCAGGCACTTGGCATGCTCCAGTCGCAAGTGTGCTATGCGGAGCTGGCGAACCTTAGCAAATCTACTGCAAATGCCTCCGTGCGACTTGTCTGACTCTCTTTCGCGAAAACTCTGTCCCTCTCGAAGAACCCCAGATCGTTTCGTATGCTGTCTTGGCATGGAACGTGAGCATCCTCCAACTTCCCAATCTCCAAGAGTGTTCCTGGCACGGAGCGTTGCACGGCTGCCGCTGCAAAAAACGCCGGCTGCACCTGAAACTCGACTCTGCGGACTTTCCAATCTTCTCCAGAAAGTTGGACTCGGCAACTTACGGCAGGACGGCGGAGGAAGACACCCACGAAGATTGATGAGACCAGGGCCGAGGCCACAACCTCGAAGAGGCGAAGAGATGCAAGTCGACTCCGGCTCGGGGGCTTTCAGCTTCTCTGCACTTGGGGCAACCGGTCTTTTGGTGAGGCTCTCAGAGCGTAAGCAAAGCTTGGAATGGAAGCCCGATCCTAGCAGCAGACCAGACCACCTGAGGCGCAAGCCATCAGCGAGACACCCCCCCTGCTGGTGAGGCCGAAAACCTGCGTCATGGCGCACTGAATTCCGAGCTTCAGAGAGGGAAGACCACCGTTACTGTCAATCGCAGCACCCAACAACACCACCACCACCACCACCACCCACCACCAGCAGCAGCAGCAGCAGCAACACAACCGCCACAATCTCACCAACATCACCAATATCATCGTCACCGTCACCATCATCACCATCATCAGCGACAGTCAACAACAGACCAGCTTCATCATCATCACCATGATTATCGCCATCGCCATCGCCATGATCACCACCATCACCATCATCAACAACAACAACAACATGGTCGTCATCACCGCCATGGCAGGCATCAACAAGATGACGACCGTCAACATCCACATTGCAATGTCAACATGCATGGTACTCTCTCCCCTGCTGGTGCTGTTGAGTTGGTTTTTCCAGAACCATGTGCCTTCAAAGTCTTCAATATGGTTATGCTTTCAGCACTGGCAGTGTTCTTGCTGCTCGCGATGGTATTCGTACGGCAGTCTTTTATGAAGCACAAGTCCTGTGACATCAGATGGCTACTATTCATTCCGCTCTGCAGCTTGGTAATGCATTCCATAGTCACCTAGCTACGAGGACCACTACTGCCCCTGCTTTCATCTTCAAAAAGTAACAATCATGCTGACTTTCAACTCGCCACGGGAAGGAACGACAGTGCGACCGGAGCAATGAGAACACTAGCCACCAGGCCCGATACAGCTTGTGCCTGAATCTGGGCTCCCCGCGGACATGCCACGTTGTCGAAGCTCGGAAATCTCAGTGCAGGTCTGATTTGGGAAAGAACTAGCGCTTTTTTGACCTTCGATGCTTTGTTCAGAAACAGGATTCTGCCGCCGATCTGGGCTCAAGGCCACCCAGCAAGAGCACGCTGCTGCACAGATCAACATGGACGTAAAGATCGGACTGGCGTTCTGGTAGCCGACCTGGAGCAGCTGATGAGCACCACAGCAAAAAAAACCGTCGATGCTGTCCGGAGGAGGTGTAAACAGATCTTCGAAGTCTTGGGTCCAGGATCGTACAGTACAACTTTCATGAGCGGACTTGTTGTGCCCCAACCCAAGCTGCAGATGCTCATGCAAAGAGAAACCTCGAAGCCAAGGCTATGCTCTGCTCCCGTCGACACCCTCCATCTTCTGTCCCGAGGCCTCGTTCTGTGCCTGCACATTCCTTCGCACGGAGAACCACCTCGGCTGTTGCAAAGCTGGATGGAATAGCGATGAGCATGCCAAGCTGGACGTTATGAGCATAATATCTGCATGTCAGACAAGTATCCATTCTCGCGGGTGCTCACGCCAGTAGCATCAAGAAAAAAGGAACTTCTGCAGGGCAAAACCCAAAAACTAAAAACTGCTACACGAACGTTGTGGCCATCGCTGATAGTTCGGCTAGCGCACAAGCACCGTCCATAGCACCAGGAGCGCTGCTGTTACTGTTCGAGTTGGAGGTGGAAAGACGAAACTAGCCAATAAGCACCACTGTATGCCAGCACCAGGAGACTACAACTAGGTGCTGGCTTCCGACGGACACGCGACCCAATTCTAGGAAGCCAACACGTAGATGGAATGGCCGGATGTGAAGGGCAGCACCTGAGACACAGCAGGGTGAGTTGACTTCTGGACCATCGCAGCCATTGAGGTGCCAGAGGGCCAATCCGGGCCAATCCGCGACCCTCCATGTATCCCCTCAGGGAAACTCCTGTTGAAATCTCCCGTAGAGGCTGCCGGCCGAGCGGGGGGCAGGCTTGAAGCTATCAACATTCGCCGTCATGCAAAAGGCTTTACGTGAAGTGGACAGCCCCCGACACTTTCGAAACATGAAGATGTGGAAGCCCGCAAGCTGCTGTCAGTAGGTGGCCGGACACCTTCTTCGTCGCAGAAAGCCATGGCCGCGGCCCTTGCCTTGTCAGGTATCAAAGCTTGCTTCTGCAGCCTCTGATGTGACGAGGGATTTCGGGTTTCTGCTACAGCCCAAGCCTTCACACCCTCCAAAAGGAGGATCACCCGCAAGAGCACATGCCTGCCAAAGCCAACACTAGGTTTGGGGCAGAGCTCAGCTGCGAACGACGCCTGAGCAACGTGTACTGCAAAGCATAGGTGCCAACGAGGGCGGTGATGAACACGACCTCAAGGAACTGCAAAAGCCGAAATGGAACTCAGACCATGTCGAGGTGCTGCCTGGGCCGTCCTGGTTTTCGCCCCCTGAGAAGCAAGATGACTCACATCAAAATGGCTTTGCAGATTCAACCCGGCCCCAGCCTGCAGGAGCTCGGTGTAAACTCCGAAGGACATGAGCGTCCAGGACAAGGACAGCACGACAGATTGAGCCTTGGACACAAAGCCGCTTTGATTTAGGCGAACTTTGATGACAGCAAGGCCTTGTACCGCCGATGAGATCGCCAGAAGGTTGAGTTGGAGTTCACACTCCTCCTGAGTTACAAAATTTCAGCTTCTAGATTCTAGAACTGGGCACCAAAGAAGAGCTATCACTTGCGACACAGACAAGTCTCTCCACGTAGGCCAGAAGCGAGGGTGCCTCCAACGGAAAGATTTCCTGGAGGCACTTCCGGTGCTTCTCGACGATGTCAGATCCTTTTACACTCCGATTGCACACGGCCATGAAAACCAGACAGGTGTAAAAGGAGACGGTCATCGTACAGCCTGCGTGCCGTACCAGAACACAATCAGAGACATCCTGCTGGTCGGTGCCCCAACAGTTGTAATCGTGTCGTTGTGGAGTTGCACTCAAATAGCTCCTCTGAGACTTTGCGATCGACTGAAAGGAGTGACCCATGTCCAGCTGAAGGACCATGAGAACGTACACAGCCGCAGCTAGAGGCGGAAACCACACTGGCACAGATCCCTCACGCACAAGTCTCTCCGTTCGTAAGACCTTCGAAATCAAGCGAACTGGTCGCTCAGAACTGCTTGGGTCTGGGAAGAGGGCAAACTTCAGGCACATGCCCGTCACATATGCAGCATACATCGAAGGCAAGAATAGGCAATGATGCGTCGTGGAATGCACATTCAAGAATGGGGCCAGGCAAAGCAATGAAACGGCGATGTGGGTGAAGAAACCAATTCCAGTCTGCGCGATCACTGGAGACGATGTGGTGGCCCGCTCCCAGGGAGGTGACACGAAGCCGTCTTCTGGCCACTCCGCCTCGAGGTCCACATCTTTCACCGGATTGGCCCCGGGGCCTCCCTTGGGAGGCACTGGGGTCCCGGCCTGCGGGCGCAGCGTCGACCAAGCCTTCTTTACGGCGAGGTCTGCTGCGGAGGCCGGCGCGCTGCTTTGGCGCGAAAACTTCTTGTCCGGGGCCTTGACGCGCAGCTTCATCTCGCTAAAGCCGCTGACGGCCTTCAGGTCTTTGGAGCCGCGCCGTGCCTGGCCCTCCAATCCACGCGCTGTGGGTGGCGTTGAAATGGAAATGACGCCACAGGGCTGACCGGGCTGGGGCGGCTGCAGGGCCTGGGCCTTTGACAGATGCCCATGCTCGTAGCCACTGTCTTCACTGGTCTCAGGGTTGATCCGGCCGGAGATGGCATGAATCTGCGCCATCTCCTCCAAATGCTCATCTGCTGCAGACGCAGCACTGCGAACTGCGCTGCTAGTAGCCAGGTCCAAGCCAATCAAAGGTACCAGACGCGGCCTCCTTTTCTTCCATGCCTTGTAAGAGCCCTTCTCTTCCGCAAATTCGAGCTTCCGCTCTCTCACCGATGCACAGAGGCTGGCCATCTCACCCCTGGCACCGGTGGCATTGCCAGCACGGAACGCCTGATAGTCCGCGCGATAGGCATCCAGCTCCACGGGCTCAATGTCTTTGGGCAGAAACTCCAGGGGCGGGCCGAGTACATTTTGTACTTCGAGGCCCTCCTCGGATGGCTCTGGACTCGGATCCAAGCTGTCGGAGCCGCCAAAGAAACTCAGCTGACGGACATATTCGTGACCCTCTTCCAGATGGCTCGTGGTGGACACCTCCTGCTCGACCAGACGAAACTGGTATTTCGCCTCCGGTTGCGACGATGGGACATGAGGCGGAAGTACTTGCGAAGTTTGCATGGCAGCATGTGCGACTCCCAGGCAGGAACTGGGGCGAGGCTTCAGAGCAGCTGTTTGCTTGGGTGCAGTGGGCTTCTGCTCACTGGGATGCAGCTTTGTATTCTAATCTGCTGGCTTTCGAAGAGTTCGGCTCAAAATTCGCGGTGTGATGATGCCCAAACAACCTCGACAACATGCGACTGATCGATTTCAGTGACACGTGCTGCGACATGTTGCAAAGGCTCGACCGACAGGCACAAACTGCTTTCCCGGGCAACCAGAAGAGCAGGCAAGCCTGGTAATAGCCCGTTAATTGCTGTGGATCAACAAACAAACGAAGCCAAAACGAAACAAGGAAGAACAATATCCTGTCGCTGAGCACAGTGCGATTCTTGGGTGAACACCATTCCGCTTGACTCAAGCTTCAGTCTCCGTTATGGTCGCACTGCTCTTCGAACCCTCTTTGGCATTTCTTGTGTTTACCAGCAGGGGAACAAACATAATGGAGCAGGGTGCTCCCTTCTCCCCGCCTCTGCTGTTGACCGGCAACTTTCTTGTTAAACGCACTTTTGCGGTCTGGAGCCTTTGAAGGTCTCGTCTTGAGGTCTTAGCATCTGAAAGCCTTTTTCGCGGGCAAGCCGTGGGCAACATCTAAATTCCAAGACAAACCATTAAAAGGCACACAAGGCCGGATGAATCTAGCAATGTTAAGATCTGTAGAACTCAACACTCCTCGGATGTCGTTGCATCCAACAAAAGTCCGAGACAAAGGCTCAGCCGCCCTTGCTCGCCACACTGCTGCTGTCATCACCACTGCTTTCGGAGGTGTCGGTCTCCGTTTCCGTCTTCCTCTGGGTGGTCCGAAGGCTGGCCACTTCACTCACCACGAAAAGCACCACACTTACAGCTGCGTACGTGACTTGCGTGAGAGCGAAACCCAGCTGCTCACCCATGTGAATGCCGTATCGAGCCGAGATGGGACCAAAGCCGCGGCCGAGAAAGTCCGCCATCACAAGGCCCAAAAGAGTGGTGGTGTTCCTGAGGGAAGGTTTCGACTGTTTCGATACTCAGGATATGCAATTGGCATCAGAGGGTCCTGTCAAGCAACGAGCCATCCGGCATCGCATAGTCCTGCATCCTCCTTGGCGGTGTCTTTGACAAGAAGTTACGTGACATCGCTGATCATGCAGACCGGCGAGCTGGGCTACTACAACCTTCCCTGCATTTTCCAACTCCCTGAAAACAGCACTGCTATGAACATATATATATATATATACATAGATATAGATATAGATATAGATATAGATATAGATTTTGATATAGATATAGATATAGATATAGATATGTATCCATATCCACATAGATATGCACGTGCACATACATGCATACATACGTACATACCTACCTGCCTGCCGGCCTACCTTCCTACCTTTATACATACATACATACATACATACATACACCTACATACCTAGCTATCTATCTATCTGTCTGTCTCTGTCTATCTGTCTATCTGCCTATATGTCTATCTGTCTATTTGTCTATCTGTCTGCCTGTCTATCTATCTGTCTATCTATATCTATATCTTTATCTATCTATCTATCCATCCATCCATCCATCGATCTTCTATCTATCTATCTATCTATCTATCTATCTATCTATATCTTGTCCACACACATACATATATATATATACATATATATGTATATACGCACATGATGCATATGTACATATATATATATGATAAATGTATATACACACACGGCTGGCTCCGAAGAATTGCCAGCAAAACGAACCCAGCAGATGCCTGCACATCGTTCACACCAAGCTCGAGACCCCCACACCGCTGCTACAAAGGTACCCTTGCTTGAAATGGCAACTCACTGCAGCCGACGGTGCGCCATGACGATACCACTGCTCAGTGCCATCATCGGAAAGAACAGCATCGAGGCGATGTAAAAGGATGCAAAATTCTCGAAAATCAAAAGCCACCCGGCAGCCAAACTTGCCCAAAGCATGATCCGTAAGGATACGTTGGATTGCTTGCTCACCTGCAGCCTCTCGTATAGAAGCTGCACGGGCAGCGCGGTGAAGACGATGATGGCACAGAGCAAGCCGGCGAGCCCTGGCTCAATGTCGTATTTGCTCTGGAAAAGCTCTGCTGTGCCGACCTCCAGAGAGGCCAGGGACAAGTTGCGGAGGACGAGCATGGCCAGGCAAAGGCACACCACCGCCACCCGGGCGCCTGACTGGCCTCCTGCAGTCCTACAATCAGCCATTTGCTCTAGGGAGGGGAGTGGGCGCAGGAGCAAGCACAGCTGCATCCAGGGTATCAAAGCGAGGAAGGCCAGCATGCCCTCGGAGCCGTCGAGATCGGAACTGCAAGGGACAAACTTGGCGGTGGCCGTGGCAAGGGAGCTAACCAGCGGTCCAGCTCCCAGGCCAAGACAGCCGGCCACGAAGAGCCTTAGATTGTGAAGTGCCCGGTGCTCGCTGGGGAGGCGTGCTGCCAGGTTCCAAGCCAGGCTGACTTGAAGGCCTCCGCCCATGCCCAGGAGCAGCCGCGATGCCACCATGACCCACAAAACCCAAAGACGACCTTCGACTTCGAAGAAGGCCAACAAGGCGAAGGTGCAGGAAAACACAATTTGCAGCAGGGCACCCGCGACGAGCCCGCGTTGCGGCCTCCGCCAACACTCCGGATAAAACTTCAAGGCCAAGAAGACCAAGACCATGCCCACTGCCGTTCCCATCTTGTGGGCGCCCACCAGACATCCTGATGCCATTGGGTTGGCCTCGAGATGGAGTTCTTCTTCCCCGTAAAACAAAATGTAGTCATGTCGAATAGCTAAAGGATGAGGCCTAGGAGGACACAGGAGCCTGGAACTGCAGGGCTATGACGTGGCTTCGGACGAGGACCACCATGAAGAGCAGGTTGTCCTTCAATGAAAGTGAAATAACCGAAAGCAGCATCTACTTAAGAAGTCCCCTGAGCCTATGTATGTGGCCTGTCCTGGAAGTTGGCGTAGACCCCTAGGGCGAGCATATAGGTGACAGGAGCGGGGTCCACGACACACCTGAAGACCAGGTGCAGGACGATCGTGCTCAGCAATGTCAGAACCACAGCTGGTATGACCACATCGACCATCAGACATTCTGGTCTCATCTGGCTTCTGGGAGCCGTTGCTGTCTTCTGCAACAAAGACACAGCCCCCACAGCACACTCAGAGTCCGCCGTTCCAGCACACTCAGAGTCCGCCGTTCCAGCCAGAATTTTTGCATCTTGAAGTGGCCGATCCGTCACGAGTACTCGGATCTCGGCTGAAATGCGTTCGGCTTCAGGTTCCTGCGTCAGCCACACCGCACTGTGAGGAGTTCGGTCATTGTAGAACAGGAGTGCCTGTCCAAAGGTCATGTTCGGCGCCACTCCCCACAACGCAGTCTCCGCAGATGCGACACTCGATCGCAACACGGTAATCGTATCGTTGTAGTTTTTGATCTGGACATGCATTGTGGACACCATGTCGTTCAAATCAGGAGCTGATGAGATTGCATTTCGACCATCGGCACCGTTCAGCAGAAATGCAATGGGATGTTGATTCAACATACCTGGTGTTAAAGAAACCCACAAGTTCAAGACGCCTGGATCTTGCGCGTCAACCATTCTCACGTAGTCATCAAAGCTGTAACCCCTGTCCCCGAAGTCTTGCTGCGAGAAAGGCCAGTGAGCGTGGACTGTCGCCCTGACGCCTCCCTCCTTGGTAGAGGTCCCGGTCAGTCGAGCGACACCGTCCCATAGCTTATCCATGTGGAACACATGGTGAGCATTTCGCAAGGTCGAGCTCCCTGTGTGGCGAACGGTGGCTTCGCCGTAAATGGCTCCACCAGAGACGCGCGAGGTGTCCGCGAGGTGAATGATTTCTCTGCCGAACCGCTGCTCGAGGAAGCTGAGCATTGCTTTGCCTGACAGGAACACGCAACAGCCCCCAAGACGCACGAGTCACGAGGCTCCGGCGCCTCTTCCCTACCCGCCCTACCCAGCCTACCGCCATGCGGGTCTCATGACTGGCCACGGAAGCCGTCTCTGGGTAGACGCCATTGTCCTTCAGAAACTCCGCAAGATTCACAAGCTCGACGCCGTCGCTGCGCAACGTCAAGCTGGAATTAATGGGATGTAGGTTCAGCTCGACCTGGCGAAAGCGTTTAGAGTCTTAGAGTAAGTAGGGCAAAATGCATCGACCACTATGGCACCGTCTTAATCTTGATAAACCCCTATGTACACGATCCTACAGGCTCCCTCTTCACAGCACAGCTGCCTCAGTCAAGCTGTCCGCATTCACAGCGAAGCCTTGTCGCTGACCCTGACGAATTGAGTCGTCCAGGTCTCCAAAAGGCACGTCTGGTTTCCTGGTCGCATCTCAGCTCCGACGGGGCACAACGCAGAGGTTTTAGGAGGTGCTTTCTCTGAAAGCTCCAACTATAACCTAGCTTGCAAATCCCTTGAGCCTTCCACAAGACTGGAGCTTCAACTTGATTGTAACGGCTCATACAGTTTGAACCTTCACTGCCGATTACGAGTTGACTTGCAAGCGGCAAGGCGCATGCGGCAACTAAAAACAGCTTGCTAGATCATGCCGAGTTCAGGAACGTGGCCGTTGCTGGAATTCCACAAACCGCACCGCGAGACCTTGCTGGCTCCGGATGTTTTCCATGAAGCTTTGTCTTGGTCATGCATTTCTGCGATTGCGACGACTGCCTCCACTTCGAGATTTTCGGCTAGTTGTGGGGTCCTCTTCTTCACTTCTCTCTCTGTAGCACAGCCTATGGCATATGTGTTGCAGCTGATCCTCGCAGAACCTGAAGATGACATCCCATAAACCGCCAAACCTGAAGTATCCCACAATGACCCTTCCCGGTCTGGACTCACTGGTTCTCATCTGAGCCACGTTTGGAAAACACAGGCACAAAGCACAACAAGCACCCGGATGAATCTCTGTCTTCCCACCATGGCAAGGATGCCCGCAGGTCAGTATCTTGATTGTGGAGTAAACCGCCCAACAATCCTCGCCACCACCTTTCTGCAGATGATGCTGCAAACTGCGCCCATGTCCTGCATCTGTCACAAACCATAAACCCATAGAATTCTGCTGATGTGTGCTAAAACCTTCCGTGGATCGAGCCGGAACAGCATCGAAACATGCACACAAAAGCAGTCTCCAAGAAGAAAGCATATACCCAACCACTCTTTCATGTTCGAGCCGGACACATACTTGCACATAACCTGCAACTTCATAGCACGGCGACAGTAAGGCAATCTACACATGAGTCCTGATAATTGCAACATCTTGTGTGGCTCGAAAGTGTTTTAACGAAAGACCGAACCTGCAGCAGAAGTGAGCAATGGAATGTCATTAGCCCAGAAAGGGCTCACATCATGCCTTGGAAATCTATATGCATGATTCAATGAAAAAATATTTCCGTGCGCTGCGAGCTACGAGATGACGAGGAAAAGCCTCTTGTCTCCATCCACTCACGAAAGTCAAGTTGGCAACCGCAGCGACAGAAGCGTGCACCAACAGCGGCAGCGGCATGACATGGTGGTTGTGGGCTCTTGGACGTCGAAAAATTGAAAACTGTTCTAATCCAGTTATCGAATTAAATATCGGACAATGTCGTTCAGCACGTGGAGCAGAATTCGGCCGAACTGTTCCTGCTTCCGGTCGGTACGATATTCAAAAACAAGCGTTGCTTTGGTCCAAGTCACGAAGCTGCCACTCCGCAACTCACAAGCTGATAAGCTAAGAAGGCAACGAAGAAAACACTGACTGCTTCAAGCGAAGCTTCCGACACTTCAAGACGGGTGCAAAGCACCACTCTGAAGGAGTCACTCACTGACAACCCTGCACACAAAGCCATACCACATCGCTGGGCAGATGATCTTCACAAAAATCAACACATGACCTGTACGGTGGACTGAGGCAAACTTGTTCAAGGCAATAAGCCACGCGCGTGACCACAGCCTAATCTCTGCGACAACCCGCACACAGAGCAGCAGCCCTACCCAGATGCACTTCTTGAGTATTTGCAGCTGATTCGACACTGTCGGTTTGTCGACATCCATCTGAGCCAGTTTGGGAAAGCTTGATTTGGGGGATCCGTACCTAAGCGCATGCTAAGGAGGCCGAACTGCCGCCACTTTGGGCCGAAGGTTCAGGGCTTGGGGATGTCAAGAATAACTGGATACTGAGCCGTCCTCCGGAGGACTCAGCTGCAGCGGTCTCCGAGTTGGGCGCTCTTCGACAGGGAATCTGTGAGGACCTGTGTTCAAAGGGGCTCTTTATGAGGATGGCAGTGTGGGATTGGAGTCCGCATTTTTGGGGAAATTTCTGGGCCCAGACACAACCTCCCATTTCGATGTTCCTCAGCAAGGTGCTGCCCTGTGCTCAAATGTAACCTAACGCCCTCTTGCGGTCCGTACCACTCCAAAGCTGTAGCTTCCAATGTGAAGGCATCAAGACAAGGCGCCGCAGAGCAACGCAACCTTCAGTATCTGCCAGAAGTCTTTAAAACTGACGGGCCAGGTAGTCGCCAAGGTCAAATCAACTGACAAAGGATCACAAACACGCAGACACACAATTGACACACAACTGATTTTCACTGCCCGACTGTCAAAGTTGAAGCAGACTGTAGCAGTCTAGCAGGCATGCTGTTTCTACTGTCAGTGCTATTCGGCTACAAACATTGATATTGAATCCTGCTTGACTCGGCACCGAATAGGTATAGCAAAACACTACTCTGCAGGGCTTGCGGGACTTGTGCCCTCAAACCGAGCAGTGAGACAGGAAAAGAAGTCTGGGGCTACAATGAGGTCGGGCTCCATCAGTTGCATTGCCATCAGAAGTAGGTAGCCTGTGCCAGTGAGGCAAGCAAACACCACATGCTGGAAACCCGGCTGTCCAGGGCAGTGGATGTAGCATTCGTTGTGAGCCGCAGGGCCGCAACGTGGCTGAAGAATTCCGAGCACGACCAGAGCCGAAAGAAGGATAGCACCTGCAATCACCTTTAACCGATTATAGACCGATGGCCGCATCCATGCTGCTGCAATCCAAGAGACCAGGGCACCAAACGTCACAAAGCCAGCAATGGCAATGACCGTTATGTCTGAAGATGTCGTTGCAGCTGCAGACAGCACGGCTATCATGAAAATGCCACTCAATATCCACATGACCTGCCAGAAGCGCTTGTTCACAAGCATGCCTTCGCCAAGGCAGAAGGCGATGCCGATCAATGGATCCACGGAAAGCGTGATCAGCAGACGAGAGGCGACAACAAAGTTGTCTCCGTCCGTGAATGCATGAAAGTAAACGGCCCACATGCCATAACCAATGGCGGCCAGCAGCAGGTATACTGGATAGAAGCGGTAATACAGTCGAGAAAAAGGCGGCTTCTGGTTGGCGCCAAGAAACCAAGCAAGTATTCCCAGAACAAGCACGATCGCTGTCAGAGCGTACAAGGAGATGTAGGAGGCTGGGTAAGCTGCCTCTGTCGTGGCTGGGTCTGGGATGTCACAATCCATGGCCACTGGTGGAGGAACCAAGAGAAAATTGAGGTTGAGGTGAGGTTCTGAGCCGGAAGCTGCACCACGTGCAACTCACATATGAAAGGGAAGCATCATCTAGAAAGCAGTACTGTGTCCACTCCCAATTGGCAGCCTCCATTCTTGGAGCGAAGCATGTAAGCAAGCACTCCAGCCTTGAGAGACCAGTGTGTTTGTAGTAGACAGCGTCGAGATTCTGTCTGTAGCCCGTGCACAAAAGTCGAGGAATTTTGCACTGTTCGTGCAGGAGGCTTCTTGGGGAGTTCAAACCTCCGGACCCCTCCCACCGACCCAAGGTCTTCATGGCCTCCCAAACCATGGACCAACAACACTGCAAGACTAGGGTTTAGGAGTTTAAGGTTTCGGGTTAACGGTTTGGTGTTTTTCAGGTTGGTGTGAACTGCTTTCTCTTCACTACCGTTTCTTGCAACCTTCAACGAAGGTCCCAGCAAAAGGATGGCAAAAACTGAATACCATAAGTGGCACAATCACGTCCAGGAGCTCACGAGCTCAATCATGTCATATCCCGAACCTGAGTACTGCGCAACTGCTGTTCAAAAAAACTGCGCACACCTACGGTGGCACCCTCATTTCTCCGATTTCAATGCTACTGCTACTGC